AACACCGTTTATTGTCAACTGACTAAAGTTTAGAACAATACAAAAAACTACACTCTTGAGCTTGTGAACTCATAAAAACTCCAACAGAAAAAAGTAATCGAACAGTAATTGAGGTAGAAGCCGAGTTATAATTTTTGCCAAATTTGTCATAAATCGCATGACAATGTTCATTAGTTTATTATGTACAATCATGGAGCTAATGTCTCATGGTACAATGAAATAGCATTATTTTGTGTGTTTTGAGAAACGTGTCTTACTATTTCTTAAAAATTGCTATTTTTAGAACAATTTCATAGAACACAATGTTAAAGAAAAATTGCATTTTTTGACACTTTTTAAAACCCAGATTTTTAAAATAATTCAGAACAACAAAAAGTACTCCATCATTAACAATATATGATTTTTTCAGCTTATGTCACCAGGCTAGATTTTGAGATATTGCATAATATCTCTGCCATAGTAACCTATGGTAAAAGCATTAAAATAGTGTCAAAATGGTGACAGTTTCTCGAAAAAAAGGCTGGTGACCCCCAACTTTTTTTAGGTCAATATCCTTAAATTACCTTGGAGTACAATTTATTCAAAACGAATAGATTCTAGGTTTTTAATTTTATTAGTAGGCTTCTACCTTAAGTTACGCACTTAAACTGATTTGCAGTCTCTTTCTGGTACCAGCCTCTGATTGGTCATATTTATCAGTAATATTTCAGTTTTTATCCTATCCATCCTTTTTGAAATAGTATACATTGCTATTAATGTATTCAGTTATATTCCTCTGTATTCATAATAAGCAGATTGACATTTAGAATATTGATTTAATGTGCCTTTTGTTATGTGTAAAAATGAACATAGGTAAATAAAAATATATCACAGTTTACACACATCTGTATCATAATGTGAACTGATATTCATCAGCATTTGTATGTTTTTGTTGTCGTTTTCAGGCTGTCGATCGCGATAAGGGCAAAAAGGGCAAAAAAGGCAAGAAAGGCAAGAAAAGTGGCAAAAAGAGTGGTAAAAAGAAGAAGAAGAAAAGTGGTAAGAAAAGTGGGAAGGGTAAAAAGAAAAAGAAGGAGAAGGATCTTACCGCAGACAGGTGAGAAAATATCCAGTCAACTTATATATTTTGTGATAAATATGTATTACATTTTGCCATATTCCATAGATAACATTCACTTTTACTCATTTCAGTTGAACCAAATATTTTTGTGCAATGCAGTGTCAAGGTTCACAACATTTGCAAGTTTCTAAGTTTGTAAGATTTTAGTTAGTTATTTTAGTTTAGTAAGTTTATTTCACTTGTATATTGTAGTGCTGTAGCTACTACCCTGTAAGGAAACTCCATTTTTGAGAACAACATTTTGTCCAAAAAAAAAACAATTTCGTCAGTCAAAATGTCATATAATCAATGGTGTTATGTCTTCATTTCTCCATTAGGACAATTGAATCACTGTATGAAGAACTTGTGATGGAAGGTATCCTGGTAGAGCACCTAAAGTACAGCTGAAGGAGTTTGAAGGAGAATATAGTTATTTAGGTACCACTCTGAGACAAGCCAATATTGAGCCTATGCCCTCTTTGTCTGATGTGAGACAGCTAGTGTCACTCTATGGTATTCTTCCTCTAGGTGAGCACTCTATCTGTTGTGTTTATTGGTGATCCACTCCGCTAAGATTACCCTTATACTGGTAATCATTATTCTGCTGATGGTATGCATTGAGACATACATTTATAAAATTTAACAAGATATCGAAGATGCCTTACACATGTTTATTTCAGTTTATTTTGTTACAAAAGAAATGCACCAAAAACTATTTCGAAAAACTATTATCTTATTAAGGTTCCCAAGCCGTCCATGAAAAATCACCACTGGTAAAAAGCATGCTATTGGCTGGACCTAGGGGAACTGGAAAAAAGATGCTAGTTCATGCAGTTTGTACTGAGACTGGAGCTAATCTTTTTGATTTGACTGCCACAAACATTGCCGGCAAATATCCCGGCAAAAGTGGGCTACAAATGATGATGCATATGGTGTTCAAGGTTGCTAGGCAACTACAACCCTCCGTGGTCTTCATTGGTGATGCTGAGAGAACATTTATGAAAAAAGTGCCTAAGACAGACAAGGTAAGGCTGCATGATACACAACTAAAATAATTATTATTATTTTCCATTATTTTCTATATCCTTTTTGTTTTACTGAAAATAAATGTTGTTTGTTTGTGTAGACTGACCCAAAAAGGTTGAAGAAAGATCTTCCCAAAGTGTTGAAGACTATCAAACCAGATGACAGAGTACTCATCATAGGAACCTCAAGGTGCCCATTTGAATGTGAAATCAAAGGCATCACTGGTAGCTTTCAGAAGATTATCTTAATCCCCAGACCAGATTATGCCTCTAGATATTGTAAGTTTCTATATACAGTTAAACCTGTGTGCAGCGACCAATCATAATATGACAGGAATTGTTTAGTTTAAGGGGCAGCAATTAGTCAACAAATATTTGAAGATGGTCAATAAAAGTATGTTTGTCTTGATTAAGCATGCAATCATCTTCCATCATTTTGGCCTTTATACCAAAACACTACTACTAAAATGTATGTATATTTAAAAAATTATTTTCTTTTTCCTGACCATACAGTGCTGTGGCGTAGTATTATTGTAAAATACAATGGCATCATCACAGGTGTACTGGATGTCAGTTCTTTATCCAAGATCACTGATGGTTACACGCAGGGTCATATGGTGACGGCATCTCAGCAAGTATTATCTGAACGGCGTATAGCTCAACTCTCAAGGCGTGCACTACAGGCAACAGAGTTTGTAGGTCCCCTGGCTAGAATTGATCCTATTTACAAGGAAGAAGAGGAAGCATTCAAGGTTTGTTGGTCATTCCTTTATGCATACATGCCACCATTCACAAATTATATCCTTGTACATTCAATATTTTATTATTCAATATATATGGGCAGGAAAAATGATGGAAATCAAAAGGTTAAAGTTGTCATCATATTTGTGGTTAACATTTTCACAGCAAGTATTAGGTGGTATTATAATTTACCAGTACAGTAATCTTTATGATTCAATGTTCACTCCTGATAAATAGTTTGTTAATTATGACTAACCACAAAATGTATGAGGCAAAAGCAGCTTTAGAATACAAGACCTCTCACAGCCATATAGTATTTGAAATTCTGTGAATGTTTGTTGAATAAAATAATATTTCGTCAAATGGATGAAAAAAACTGAAAATTGATACTGTTACTTTCTTGTATTATTTATTTACTTGTGTGCCATTTGTTATTTAGACACTCAGATGAGTATATTTGATTTTAGCTGATAGTTGAACTTGAGTCTCAAAAAGTAACTCAGATTCTCAAGTTGAATCCTTCGTCATATGCAGTATTTTAACTTACAACCTTTTCAGTTCTTTCAATAAACAGTCAAAAGAGAATCAGAAAATAAAACGATGCCTTCTAGATCTGGGTCATTTTATTCTGGGATGTTTATATGACTGTTACTGTAACTAATTTAATTTAACATTTTAGACGTGGTATGGAAAGACACCACTTGGTAAGAAACGAGCTAAGTTAGCGCAGCCAGATGATGAAGATGACGGCAAAGGAAAAAAAGGAAAGAAGGGTGGGAAGAAAGGCGGAAAGAAGAAAAAGAAGAAGTAAACACTGATGCCGCTTATACAAAATTTGTTAGAACTAAATATTGATGGATTCAAACACTGTATGATAATAGAAAACATTAACATTGGATTGTACATTGTAAATATGTAATAAAAATCATGTTGATGTATTAACTGAATTTATTAATTTTAAAGAAAAAATATTGTTTTTCTCTC